GGCAGTCCATCCAGGAGCAGAGGAAGCAAATATCCCCAAGAATGAGACAGGAAGTGCAGAGGAAATGTGACACCACCTTTCCTAGAAGCCAAGGCCTGCCGCAGTGGCCTACCGCTCATGCTAGACAAACCATGCAGCTATCAGGTGAAACATGGTGACCAACAGAGCTTCCCTATGTGAGACAGGTATGGAAGCCCAGAGCTCCAGGATGGTCACTCCTGCCCAATCAACCAGAAACAGGTTTGGGGAGAGAAACACTCATGACACGGATCTCCACGAAGTTTCTCCCTGATGGACTGGGAAGTGTTCTTTGTAGAAGACATGGAGCCAGACCAACAAGCATCTAGGCCCCTCAGAAACAGGGCAGACAAAGCAAGATGGAGGACAGCAGAGGCCGGAGACCAGGCAGGAAGAAGCACAATGCCACGGCCACAGGCATCCTGGGGCATCCAGGGAGGAGTGCCAAACAAGTGACTTGTCCAAAAGGCCAGTGTTCAAGTGACAGAGATCCTTGCCATGCCCCATTCCGGCTTCTTGTTTAAGCCTGTGTTGGGCTGCAGCTTCATTTATCAGAGAAGAGCTGCAAGGAGTCAGAACCATCTTCTTTGACGTCGGTCTGCTCCCCTCCTGCAGGACAATGAGATCCTGTGAGGCTTTTGGCCTTGGCTGGGGTGTGGTCTTCTTGATCCTAGAAAAGAGGCCACTCAGGATGGGGATGAGATTTCAATTCCTCGGGGTCGGATGCATCTCCTCGCATCACTGAGGCCTTAACAAACGCAAAGTGGATCCTCCAGGAAAATGATTAACAATTGGCCACAAGACCCAGGCAGAGATGCAGAAAGAGGCTCACCAAACAAAGGCCTACATGGAAAAAATCGCCCTTTGGTGCACAGGGCACATTGGTCCCAACACACACACGCACATGGGCACACACATGCACAGAGAAAGAGAGTGAAGCAGAAAGACTAAGAGAGACAGTAAGTAGAGAAAGAGTGACATTCATGCAGGCAGACATACCTCAGTGACAGAGAAACACTTACCTTCTGTCAGCCACCGAGGCTGCCAGTTTCTGGTTTCCGCGAGAATGATTCTCATGTAAGAGGGCAAACCAAGGGCCCACAGGCAGGCCTGACCTTGATATCACAGTTGTCACGACTTGTTGGGAGGCTCACTCACACACTGCGCAGGCTTGGTTCTGGGATGCCGTGCTGCTTCCCTGGGACTCTGCCTGAGGTTTTTTCATTCTTGTTGTCCTTCTGCTTTCCGATGTCTGGAGACCATCCACTATGCTCTGGCTTAGCTGGTGCCCAAACTGCAAGATAAAGTCCTTAATACTTGTCCTTTTTCTTTTTCTTTTTCTTTTTTTTTTTTTTTGAGACGGAGTTTCGCTCTTGTTACCCAGACTGGAGTGCAATGGCGCGATCTTGGCTCACCACAACCTCCGCCTCCTGGGTTCAGGCAATTCTCCTGCCTCAGCCTCCTGAGTAGCTGGGATTACAGGCATGCACCACCATGCCCAGCTGATTTTTTGTATTTTTAGTAGAGACGGGGTTTCACCATGTTGACCAGAATGGTCTTGATCTCTTGACCTCATGATCCACCCACCTCGGCCTCCCAAAGTGCTGGGATTACAGGCGTGAGCCACCGCGCCCGGCCTACTCGTCCTTTTTCTATCTTCAAGCAGAAGTGATTTCTTCCCATGACCACAAAAACTGTTAATGTGCTGTGTCACACCTAAAGCCAGTTTGGCACTGGGTCTCACCCAAGGCCCACAGAAATTAATGCTTAGCTACCACTGATGTTTATTCGAGGTTCGATGGCTTTTTACTCAGCAGGTTATGTATCCTGCCAGAGTGTGTGTTTCCTTTTAGGCAATGTGTTTTATTTTGGCCCATGGTGTGTCTAGAAATGTCATCTGCTGCTTCATTTTACTGTGTCTGAGCTCTAGTCAAGTTGCAAGACAAAGTCCTTTTTACTCTCCCTTCTCCTCTCATCAAGAAGTCAGGTGTCTCTTCTGAAACTAAGTGCTGCCTGCTTAGGTTTGAGAGAGGAGTGATATGAAAATCTCTTGGCTGCTCCAGCTGGCGTGTCACCGGGTAACACGCATCCCTTTCCCAATGGCTCTGAGCACAGCACAGCACAGCACCAGGACTTGCCCAGGAATTTTAATTCTTGTGGCCTAGACTGCCTTTCAAGTTTATTTAGGACCCCAGAGTGCTTTAGCACACAGTAGTGGGGCTAGCTGAACCTCAGATTTCAACCACCGGGTTGGATAATTTCTTTCTGGCTAGGGCTGTTCTAAATGCTCCCTCCATGGGCACTGGCTGAATTTTGCCCCATATTGCCCTCTGCTGTGACAGGCAGCACTGAGTTTCAATGCAAAGTCCCACCATTTTTGCACTGTCCCACCCTCAAACACATAGATTCTCTGTCCTTGCCACATAGCCATTGCTGAGGGATGGAGAGGGCTGATGGCAGCAATTCAAGACTGCCTTTCCTGCCCTCCTTGGTGCCTGATTAAGTGATCAGGTACCCTGATCCAATCCACACAAGACTGTTGTCCATTGTTGGAGGTTCTATTTTGCCATCTTGTACCATCTCCCTCTCTTCATTTCTAGTATGAACAAATAGTTGTATACATTTCTTTGTAAGTCCAGATTCAGTTATATCTGACAAATGTTCCCTGGAACTCTGTATTTCCACCCACATTTATATATTTATATCACATTCCTTAGAATTCTGCTGTATTTTCACTCACATTTCTATATTCATATTTATCTCCATTGAGATTTCCTCTTTGATGCCTGGGTTACTTAAAAGTGTGGTTTTTTAAAAAATCATTTTACATTACATGCCAACATGTCATGTACCCATTGGACCCACAAAATTTAAAAAGAAAATAAATTGAAAAGTTTTCTGTTACCTTTGTTATTGATTTCTAGTTTGATTCCACTGTGGTCAGAGAACATACTATCATTTCAATTCTTTTGAATTTCTTGAGGTTTGATAAATGTGTCTAGAATGTGTTCTACCTTGGTATATGCCCTGTGGGCACTTAGGATATCTATTCTGTGGTTGCTAGGTATTATAAAAATACCAATTAGAAATGGTGCTGGGAAAACTGGCTAGCCATCATGTTGGCCAGGCTGGTCTTGAACCCTGGCCTCAGGTGATCTGCCTGCCTCAGCCTCCTGAAGTGCCAAGATTACAGGGATGAGCCACTGTGCGGAGCCTGGATGGATAATTTTGAATGATGAAAAGTTACTTTATCAATTTCTTCTATGTGAAGTTCTTGCTATTTTTTAGTGTTACATGAGTTGAGTTCACATACTTATGTTACCACTAAAAAAATCCCTTAAACACATAATTTTATCCCATTTCTCCTTTCTTATAGTAGAGGCACTGATAAAGCCTAGTAAATAGTTTTCTTCAAAGGATCAGATTTTGATAAAAACCTGTATTGTTTTTTGTTTCATGATTTCAGCTTTCCATTAAGCCTTTCCATTCATTTATTTGGGGTATTTGTTTATTCTACCTTGCTGAGTAATTACTATTTAACTCAAAAAGTATTTGAGGCCCTACAACATTATAGGCACTGACCTAACTGCTAGGGATGCAGTGGTGATGTGAAACAAAGTGGTCTCAATCTTCTTGGTTTTATACAGTTTAAAATATAGTTTATACATAGTTTCTATTGGTAACTGTTTTAGTTATTTCACAGGATTTAAAATATAGTTCTCATTATCATTCTAAATAGTCTGCAATTTCACTTCTTCTTTGCTCTTTAATTCAATAATTGTTTATATGTAGTACTAAATTTCCAAGAGGTAACAATCCACATGGCTATCTATTTGCTAGTTTCTGAGTTATAACTGTGGTGAAAAATAAATATGACACCTGGCTTTAGAAATTTGTTAGAGACAAATCATTTCTGAATGTCTTTTTAAAAATTGCTGAACACTCAACAACCCCACTTTCACTAGTTACAAGGGTGTTATAGATTTTTTGATGTAGCATGTGAAATTAATAGTCATTCAAAACTTTCTTATCTTCATTGTGTTTTACTGTTTTTTTTCACAATTAACATTCTGATGTTAAATAAGACATAGAGATGACATATTTGTCTATAATCATTAAACTCTTATATCCTCTCATAAAACGGCTTAATACAAATACTAATGACAGTCACTAAGTAGTGCAAATCTCAAATCATTCAACCTTTACAATCTAATGAATAAGATTAAAGAAACATAGATTTAAGACTTTCCAAAAAAATATAGAGGTAGGATGTATTGAAACAAGACATGTCAAATAGATTTTATGACATAGTTCAAGGCTTTTCTAGATTACCTTATTTTTGTGGAAATACAACAAAATTTTGCTAGTGATGAAAGATTTCCAACATGAATTAGATATAAATTCTTGTGAGGTTATTTTTGTTTTTGTTTGGAGACAAGAATCTCACTCTGTCACCTAGGCTGGAGTGCAATGACACAATTTTGGCTCACTGCAATCGCTGCCACCTGGATTCAAGCAATTCTTGTACCTCAGCCTCCAGAGTAGCTGGAACTACAGGCACTCACCACCACACCCAGCCAATTTTTATATTTTTAGTAGAGACAGGGTTTTACCACGTTGGTCAGGCTGGTCTCAAATTCCTGACATCAGGTGATCCACCTGCCTCTGCCTCCCAAAGTGCTGGGGTTACAGGTGTCAGCCACTGTGACTGGCTGAATTATATACAAATTCTTTATGCAACATCTCTGATGAGAATGTTTTGAGTATGATTCAAAGAGAATTCATGCTATCATATAAAATTTTACACTGATATTCCGTAATTGATAACTGATCAGTAATTTCTTTCCTATATTGATTGCATGATGAATTCTCTGCTGCTGCTGCTAGATGTATTGGGTGCCCTGTCAAAATGCTTCCAATATTACTTACATTTATAGGGTTCCACAAGAGAAAAAAAATAAACAAAATTAATGGGTTATGAATAAAGCCTTTCCTACACTTGTACATAATAATATGTCACAAGAGTGAAATGAAGTGAGAGCTTGAAGAAAATGCTTTCTCAAAATCTTTAAATTCATAGGATTTCTCAAAAGTGTAAATACTCTGGTATTCAGCAAAGTTTGAATCATGACAAAAGGTGTTCCCATAGTCTGTCCATTCACAGAGATTTGCACCATTATGAATTTTTTGTTCAGCAAAATATGAATGGTGACTAAAGATGTGGCTACTTTTCTTGCATCCATAAGGTTCTCCATCAGTGTGAATTCTCCTATGTCGTGTAAGCTGTGAACCCCAGATAAAAGATTTCCCACATTCTTTACATACATAAGGTTCCTCACCAGTATGCATTCTCTGATGTCGAGTAAGTTGTGAACCCCAGAGAAAGGCTTTTCCACATTCTTCACATTCATATGGCCTCTTTCCAGTATGAATTTTCTGATGTCGATTAAGTTCTGAACCACGAAAAAAGGTCTTTCCACATTCCTTACATTCATAGTTTCTCTCACCAGTATGAATTTTCTGATGTCGATTAAACTCTGAGCCGTGAGGAAAGGTCTTTCCACATTCTTTACATTCATAGGATTTCCTCTCATTATGAATTTTCTCATGTTGAGCAAGATATGAAGCCCAAGTAAAAGTCTTCCCACATTGCTTACATTCATAAGGTTTCCTACCAGTATGAATTCGCTGATGTCGAGCAAGGTGTGAGCTCCAGATATAGGCTTTCCCACATTTCTCACATTCATAAGGTTTCCTACCAACATGAACATTCTGATGTTGAGCAAGATTTGAACCACGAATAAAGGCTTTTCCACATTCCTTACACTCATGAGATTTCTCACCAGTATGAATTCTCTGATGCTGAGTTAGATGTGACCCACGAGTAAAAGCTTTCCCACACTCCTTACATTCATAAGGTTTTTCACCAGTGTGAATTCTCTGATGTTTAATAAGATGTGATCGCTGACTAAAGGCCTTTGTACATTCACTACATTCATAGGGTTTTTCACCGGTATGAATTCTCTGATGTCGAGTAAGATCTGAGCCACAACTAAAGGCCTTCCCACATTCCTTACATTCGTAAGATTTCTCACCAGTATGAATTCGCTTATGGACACTAAGTTGTGAATGAAATCTAAAGGCCTTTCCACATTCCTTACATTTAAAAGGTTTCTCTCCGGTATGAATTCTCTTATGACCAGTAAGACTCGAACGTAAACTAAAAGACTTCCCACATTCTTTACATTCATATGTTTTTTTAACAGTGTCAACTGTCTGATATTGAGTAACCTCCAAATCAGAAAGAAAGGTATTTCCACATTCTTTATCTTCACAGAATTTCTCACTTGTGTGAATTAACTGATGTTGAGTATGATCTGAGCCAGAAATAAAGGCTTTCCCCAATTCTTTAAATTCATTCAGTTTGTCTCCTGTGTTAAGTCTCTGGTGCAGATTAAAGTCTGGGTGTCGGTTAAAAGTGGGCATTTTAACATAGGTGAGTATCCCCTGCTTGAAACATTCCTCTTGATTATCTTGTAGTGTCTGAAACTGAACATTGCCTTCCCAATCACCTCTAAAACACAAACATTCAAGGCTGTGGTTTTTACAAATTTTCCTTATTTCCAGTTGGGCTATTTCTCTCTCAAAAATGCCATTTTTTGGTAATAACTTCTTGATTGGACACCTGGATTGCATGTCTGAAAAATAAGAAGGTAAAAACATACTGTTTTACATACAAAAAGAAATACAACTTTTTTTTTTTAATTTCTTTTTTTTAAAGACGGGATTTCACCATGTTGGTCAGGCTGGTTTTGAACTCCTGACCTCAGGTGATCTGCCCCCCTTGGCCTCCAAAGTGCTTGGATTACAGGCATGAGCCACCACACCCAGCCGAAATAAAACTTCTAAAAGAGATACAGAAAATCTTGAAATAAATCATATCAGAAGTGAATGGCTTAAAAAATTCTCAAATATGAGAAATATGAAAAAAAGGCAAGACGTAAGTAGAAATTTAAAAGAAATAATACAAGTTGAGTCAAATGATGATAAGTATATTTTATTTTGATCATATTCATCTGAGGAGCTCAATAAAAAATGATTATCCAGGTACCACCTTAGCAACAGAATAACAACTCAGAAAATATCTACAAGTTTTAAGTACTATGATGAATGTCTTATATAATTCAGAGCTTAAAAATAGAAATGCTGGGAAATAGCAGAGCAACAGTCTAATATGAGGGAAGCAATCTCATCCAGAGTTACCAAAGTACTAGGATCTCAATATCAGGGTATGATGCATTTAGGCTAAAGGAGATAATGATGCATGATAGTTCAGAAAGAAAAATAGTTTGAAGGCCATGTACAATTATTCACACCTGTAATCCCAGCACTTCAGAAGGCTGAGGCAGATGGATTGCTTGAGTCCAGAAGTTTGAGACCAGCTTAGGCAACATGGGAAAACCCCATCTCTAAAAAAAATTAGCCAGGAGTAGTGGTGCATTCCTGTGCTCCCAGCTAATTGGAAGGCTGAAGTGGCAGGATCACCTGAGCCTAGGAGGTCAAGGCCGCAGTGAGCCCTGATCACATCACCGCACTCCATCACGGGTGACAGTGTAAGACCCTGTCTTAACAACAAAATAGTTTGAGAATTTTGTTCAAGGGAGAAGGAGTCGGGCCAAGCTAAGAATAATAGGACTTTTCTGTGACTCATTTTTTTATATGTATTTAGGATCAAGTACAATTGTCATATGATTGTGGTATTAATTTTTCTTGGGAGACAGAGCAAGTACTCCATCAATGACTGAATGAATTGAAAGGCAGTTTAGTTATAAACTATGACCAGTAATGTATGGCAATGGAAAGACAACGAACTGCAGTTTCAGACTCCAGTTCTGTTAACTCAAAGCAGTTTTTAGGTGATTGGAAAATTACTGAGCTTGACTGAATTTTCCACATTATAGAAAGGAATAAAACATCGCTTTGCAGAGGTCTGTTGCAAGGAATAATACACTACTTCTATTAACTGCCTTACATAGGATAAATGTTGAATAATCTGTAGATGATGATTACTGTTAGAGAAGAAAAGCTGGAGAATACAGGGAACCAGGCAAGCCAGGGTTTGTCTTTTTTTGTTGTTTTTTGGTTTTTGGTTTTTTTTGAGATGGATTCTTGCTCTGTCACCCAGGTTGGAGTGCAGTGGCGTGATCTTGGCTCACTGCAACCTCTGCCTCCCAGGTTCAAGCGATTCTCCTGCCTCAGCATCCTGAGTAGCAGGGTTTACAGGTGCCCGCCACCACATCTGGCTAATTTTTGTATTTTTAGTAGAGACAGGGTTTCGCCATGTTGACCAGGCTGGTTTTGAATTCCTGACCTCAGGTAATCTGCCCACCTCGGCCTTCTAAAATGCTGGGATTACAGGCATGAGCCACTGCGCCTGGCCGGACTTGTTTTTTATGACACCGTGTTCTCCTAGTTGTACTTCATGAGCCCTAACCTTTCTTCTGCCACTTCTTTCTCACTGTGACCAGAAACTGTTTTCACCTATTACTGTAATTTTCAGCTAAGCAGACTATTAGGTCCTCTCTTAATGTAGAGCCCTTTATGCAGAAATGTATGGCCATGTTCCAGTCACAGAAGAGAACAAAAAGTTTCTTAAGAGATTACATATTCTTTGTTAATTCTTCTAAGCCTAAAATGAGAAAATCCATAAATGTTGATCAAAAGAATGAACTAATGAATGTAGCCAATGTATAAGCAAGGAGAAGCCAGGAAAGATGAGAAAAATTCAAAAGGGATGGGTAAAAAAGGTTTTGTTTTGTTTTTACCGAATGAAGAATTTTATGAATATCTAAATTTAAAAAAACAGAGATGGAAAGGAACCTGATCCAAATCACAGATAAAATAAGGGCCACTGGAGAAAAGAACGGCACTTACCTTTTTGTTACATGAGTGAAAAAATAAGAGCACAAAAATCGAGTGGTATTTGGAGTGAAGAGAAAATTCTTTTGGAAAAGGTTTTGTCTCTATCTAGGTCTCAGGACTTTATCAAAGATTTTTGGTATTGGTTGGTTTTTTTTCTTTTTTTTTTTGAGATGGAATCTTGCTCTGTCACCCAGGATGGAGTGCAGTGGCATGATCTTGGCCCACTGCAACTTCTGCCTCCCATGTTCAAGCGATTCTCCTGCCAGAGTCTCCCCAGTAGCTGGGACTACAGGTGTGTGTCACCACGCCAGCTAATTTCAGTATTTTCAGTAGAGACAGGGTTTCACCATGTTGGCCAGGTTGGTCTCGAACTCCTGACCTCAGGTGATGTGCTTGCCTTGGCCTCCCAGAGTGCTGCGATTACAGGTGTGAGCCACTGCACTCAGCCAGTTTTTGGTCTTGGTCTTTTTTTTCTTTTTCTTTTTGAGATGGAGTCTCACTCTGTCAACTAGGCTAGAGTGCAGTGGCACAATCGCAGCTCACTGAAACCTCCGCTTCCCAGGTTCAAGCAATTCTCCTGCCTCAGCCTCCCAAGTAGCTGCGACTATAGGCGTATGCTGCCATGCTTGGCTAATTTTTTTTTTTTTCAGTAGATATGGGGTTCCACCACATTGCCCAGACTGGTCTCAAACTCCTGAGCTCAGGCAATCCGCCCACCTCAGTCTTCCAAAGTCTAGGATTGCAGGTGTGAGCTACTATGCCTGTCTCAGTTTTTGTTCTTAAAGGGATAAACCAGACCAATATTTCAGAGGTGTTGCTGCCTCATTATGCAGCTGAGCTGTTATCCACAATGACGGCCTCCTTGTGCCTGTTCAGCCCTCACTCACCTGGGCAAGGTCCTCTTGTCTCATCCGTCAAAATCTTCCAGGGCTCTTTCCCTTTCTCCAATAAAGAGAACACATCTGGCTGATAAATGCAAAGACCTGCTCAGAAGATAAGAAACAGCAAAAAATCACATGGTAAAGATTCTAAAATTTGCAACTAGTTCCTTGGTTATTAACGGAAAGAAACAATTACAGGCAGGGCAGAAATAAGTTATAAAGGATGGGAAAGATGGAGGTGCCCACTGATGATACCTATTGCCAGATTTACAAAGCACAAACCGTTTCCCCAAAAACAAAGGTCAGAAGTTACCCTTTGTGTTTTAAAACACAATTAAAAACTTCACAATACAGAAAGCCCAAATTTCTAAGAACAAATGCTGAATCTTACCCAGTGAAACCATGTTGCTGTAGTTCTCCAACATCACATCTCTATACAAATCCCTCTGTTTCAGGTCCAGGCCCTCCCACTCCTCTTGAGAGAAATCTATAGCCACGTCCCTGAACATCAACTGTTGAAAGAACAAGTCCAAATATTAATGGTGATATTTTTAAAAATAATAACCCCTTTCAGATCAAAGGGGAAAAGCTGGAAAGGGGCACTGCAAGGAGTGGGGCACATACTGGGCAAAAACTGGAGTTGGCTGCCTGTGGTTTTGGGGGAAATGACATGGGAGGGAATAAGGGTGACTAAAGCTGAGTGCCTACATGTTCCTTTGCTTTTGTTCTTTTCGAGACATACTTGTTCTGTCACCCAGGCTGAAGTACAGTAGTGTAATCTCAACTCACTGCAACCTCTGCCTCCCAGGTTCAAGTGATTCTTGTGCCCCAGCCACCCTCACAGCTGGGATTACAGGTGCACACCACTGCGCCCAGCTAATATTTTTCTGTTTTTAGTAAAGAGGGGGTTTTGCAGCATTGACCAGGCTGGTCTCGAACTCCTGACCACAAGTGATCTGCCCGCCTTGGCCTCCCAAAGTCCTAATGAGCCACTGCACCTGGCCTACATGCTCTTAAAAACTCCTGTTGCTTAGTCACCACATCTTTATGATCTTCAAATCACAAATACCAAAACATCAGAATGGCAGCCCAGAATAACAGATATTATATGAGGTTTTTGTGGATAACACTGAGAGGCTACACCAGCTGGGAAGAACTAAACCCAGATTTATTACGTGAGAAAAGTTGGGGGTTTTGTTGCTTGTAAGCAGTCTTTACTGGGCACAAACAGACTTGTGCACACAGAGTCTTTGGCCAAGGTAACTATTCTTTGCTTATGCTGCTACGTTTAGTTGAGTTTTCTGTTAGTTTAAATTGAGAGCATTCTCAAGAGATACACTCTTTGACTGAATATTATTTTCTGTGGAAAATATGTAGAATCTCCAGGTTCTTAGCTAAGCAGCTGACAATCAGCAAATTCAGTGTCATAAGTGATGACTGCGAAAGTCATCACATGAGTTTTTTGTCAATAACAATGAGAGGCTATATCAGCCTAGAATAACTTATCCTGGATTGTTTTTTTTGTTTTGTTTTTTGTTTTTGTTTTTGAGACAGAGTCTTGTACTGTTGCCTGGGCTACAGTGCTGTGGCACAATCTCAGCTCACTGCAACCTCCATCTCCAAGTTCAAGTGATCCTCCTGCCTCAGCCTCCGGAGTAGCTGGAGCTATAGGCACCTGCCACCACACCTGGCTAAGTTTTTTGTATTTTTTTTTTTTTTTTTGAGACGGAGTTTCGCTCTTGTTACCCAGGCCGGAGTGCAATGGCGCGATCTCGGCTCACCATGACCTCCGCCTCCTGGGTTCAGGCAATTCTCCTGCCTCAGCCTCCTGAGTAGCTGGGATTACAGGCACGTGCCACCATGCCCAGCTAATTTTTTGTATTTTTAGTAGAGACGGGGTTTCACCGTGTTGACCAGGATGGTCTCGATCTCTTGACCTCGTGATCCACCCGCCTCGGCCTCCCAAAGTGCTGGGATTACAGGCTTGAGCCACCGCGCCCGGCCTTAGTTTTTTGTATTTTTTTTTTTTTTAGCAGAGACAGGGTTTTACTATGTTGGCCAGGCTGGTCTCGAACCCCTGACCTTGTGATCCGCCCGCCTTGGTCTCCCAAAGTCCTGGGATTACAGGCGTGAGCCACCGCACCCAGCCTCGGATTGTTAATGATACTAACCTCTCATTAATTTCCTGGAAAACCCCAGATTTCTGTGAACTCAACTTCCCAGAATATCCGCTAAGGAAAGCATCATAAAGTGCCACATACCTAAATGAATACCAACGAACTCCAGCTCCCGTGTTGATTAAATATCCCATTCTACAGAGTAAATAAAAGCCTTTATGTAGCATGTCCCCTTTAATTACTCCATCCCATCTTGTTAAGCCATGGGTTTGAAACAAAAGTCTATACAGTTCCCCTTAAGGAAATGTATTCATCTCCTTCAGTGCTCTGCCAGATTGGGACACAGGAGATACTGAAAGCCCTGGTGGATAGATTTGGTCATACTGGTTGGAGATATCTAGGGAAAGCACTGGACTATTTCACAATCATCACTTATGATGCTCAATAGTGATTCAGGCAAGCAGTTTAAGGATAAGCAATACAAAATATTCACATGATGTGATATAAATAGGTTATATTTTTGAAGAGAGGCAACTACAACTCACATGAGCCATGACTTAACATTCCAAGTCTACCGGTCTTCCTCTCGATTCTTCTCTTGATGAAGCAATGTGCTGAGAAAGCAGAGCTAGAAGGAAAGAATCATGAGGTCAGGGCTTTCTCAGAGCTTTCAAATGGACAAACAGGAATGCCATCTTCTTCCTTGGACACAGGTCAGAAGGAATCAATCTGAAGAAATCCTGGCCCTATCCAAAACCAGAGAGATTCAACAAAAGTAGGGTGGAGTTTCAGTCTAATTACTTATGCCAAAATCATGACATGGATCAGGATACTACTAGATAAGTCAATTCTGGCTTGCCCTAAATTCATATATACATACATTAACCTTTATCCTCAACCCACTTATGAATGTCAGTTACTTGTCTCATTTAAAAGATCAGGAAATGGGCCTCTTGCTCAAATTCACTATTAGGAAATATCATAGGTTTGCTGAATGCAAAGCTTGTTCACTTTGAATACTGTATTCCACCCTCTGGATTTCAGGATTTCTTATTTTACTGAATGAAGGATGAGCTGGGCCTTTCCCTTACAGGAGTAGCCATGATCTCTGCCTCCTATGTTTTCAGTGACACTAAGTCTCAGGATGGCTTTTTCATGAAAGGGACTCAAAGTTGAAAGGAAGGCTGTGTTGGGCAAGTAGTCAGTTTTTTGTGAAGCAAGTTTTTTTTGTTTTGTTTTTTTTTTTTTTGAGACGGGACCATGTTGGCCAGGATGGTCTTGAGGTCTTGATCTCGACCTTGTGATCC